TGCATCCCCTTCAGGGAACTGGCCTGCAACCCAGGCATGTGCCCTGACTGGGAATCAAACCGCAATCATGTGGTTCACAGGCCTGTGCTCAATTCACTGAGCTGCACCAGCCAGGGCTCTTCTAAGTTATTTTTAAATAATATATTATTATGTTACTATTGAAATAAAAATAAGTAAAAATATGACTCAATATTATTAGCTAATATGTGAGTCATATATTGGGTCATGATCTTCTAATGATTTGCATGACTTATTTCATGTAGTTATTATTTGCTACTTGCCAATCATTATTTATGCTATAGATTATAAAGATGTGAATTGTCATGCGAGAGTGTTAGAAATAAATGATAATGTAATCTCCTACTGGATCAGGCTTTGGATGGAGTCTAGAAACCTTGCAGCTGTATCCAGTGTATGTGAGTACCTGAGTAGCAGGTGCTTACCTACTAATCAGACTATGAGATGGGTTATTATTTCCCCAAGTAATTTTGCTCAAACTCACCATTCATTTCTGTACTGATGAGAAAACAAAGCAAGACTGTGCTAAGAGAGAAGCTAAAGTATACAGTGGAGGAAAATTTATGTTTTCACCTCATTAGTCTATCTGAGGCAATTGGAAAAGATGACAAGCAGCAAAAATTATGACCTAGGGTCACACTTTTCAGGAGGTTGGAAGAATTAGGAGTGGAGGTGGCCCTCCAGTGTCAGTGTGTCCCAGCCAGCAGAGAGTTCCACTTTTAGAAAGTGTTGTGCTGTTTTTTTTTACTGTAATGTAATCAAATGTATACTGTGCAGTATAACTATTATAATCTAATATGTGCAATTACTATATATAGCATATGTACTTGCTACATATACAGTATTATATGCACTGTATAGTAGTACATATAACCCCCTGACAGCTTCTTCAGGGTTTTTGTGGGATGAATATGTAGGGATAATGCAGGAAGAAAGTAGAGAGGGAATTCCTAATATAGCAGCCTGATTTATGCTATCAATCTCTGTCTTGTAGCAAAATTATTTTCACTTTTAATTCTACCTTTAAGTTCTAAAATAATAGATAATTCAAAGGATATTAATACTTGGCTTAGGGAGGGCCTGGCCAGATACCTCCATTGGTTAAAGCATTGTCCCAGTGTGCCAAGGTTGTGGGTTCAATACCTGGTGAGGGCATATACAAGAATCAGCTAGTAAATGCATGAATAGATGGAACAACAGATCAATGTTTCTTCCTTTCTCTCTTCCTTTGTCTCTCCCTCTCTCCCCCTTCCTATCTCCCTTTCTGTAAAATCAATAAAAAAAGAAAGGTCTTGGCTTAGGGAGATGTGTTTGTATTATTAAATATATAAATAAATGCATCAGTGTAGAATGTTTTCACTTTAAAGAATGGAATAATGTATCATGAAACCTAAGTGAAGAGTAGCCAAATTGCTGTCTTGCAAATTTATCCTGGTTACTTGTATGTCTGCTACAGAGTAGGACTGGTCAGTTTTCCCCTCAGAATGATGGGAGCCAGAAATTTCAGCTTTATTATAATTCTTACCTATTGCCCTTTATGTCATTCTTTCCTGAACCACACCAGTAATGAGTACGTGTGTAGCATAAAAGCTGCCATACCTTGAAAGCTTGTAGCTGCCAGAACCTGATCCAACTGCCTCACTTACCTCACTTGAATCTTAAAAGAGCTTTTATGAAACTTATTATCTGCTTTTACAGTGGAGGAACCTGAGTACTGGGGAGAAAAAAATGGCTGAAATTCATATCACTCATAAGTGGCCTCGCTGGAACTAAAAGCCATGTCTCTCTGACTTGGAAATCTGTGTACATGGGCATCATGTCATCTCACTGTCCTTATTTAGACACAGATCTCTATGGGGTTATTCTTCGGGGTGTGGTCTTTGGCCCTTCTTTCAGAATAGCACAGGGAAGCTGATGAAAATATAAATTCCTGCCAAAGACTCACCCCAAAGATAGCGAGTCAGAATCACTAGAGCACCCATGTTTTTAACAAGCTCTCCAGGAATCTGTGTTTCCTCTGAAGCATGCTAATTAATTGAAAAACACAGCTCTACACTATCTTATTCCTACACATAAGATGTAATGGTATCGCAAGTTTCTTCCTTCTTTTGTGGGAGGGGAGGTAGCATTTGACTCTGACACCCTCCTTGACACTCTTCTTAGCCATTTGTGTTTTCTTCTGATGTTCCCTTTACTCTGCTAACCATTGTTCCCCTGTCGTTTCTAATCCTCTTCTTCCTGCCTGCAGTTCCTCAGGTTCTGCCCACGGCCCTTTTTCCTTGGATGGCTGTGACTACCGTTGATTGAGGCCTTACAAGTCACTCTTGCCCCTCATCCCCAATTCTTTCCTGAATTGTAGCGCCTTATTTTTATCAGTGTTATTTTACTCTAAACCCATGGATGCCTGTCTATTCTTCAGGTCTTAAATTTAGCATGCCAAAGAATGAACTCATTATCTCCTCCCCACACACTTCCTCTGTCATCATTTTCTCCTATTACAGTCAGTGCTGTCACTACTCAGTCTTCTGAGCTGGAAACTTCAAAATTGTATTCATCCTTCCCTCACAACCTCCATTCAGCAGGCAGTCATCCAGTCCTGCTACTTCCACCTCAGAAATGCCATCTGATTCAATCATTCTTTTCTCCATCCTCATTGTTTGTTGTCATCTTACCTTATACTTTGGATTTCATATTAGACTTCTTACCATTCAACTATGCCCCAGTGTATCCAGTGTCTTCTCCACACTGCACCTGAGATATTTTAATAATAAACATATTCGAACCTCTCATCCCCCTACTTAAAAAGTAGCTGTTGGTTCCCTGCCATGTAAAGTCCGAATTTCATGAGGCGTATTCTCAACTGACCTCATCCTGTCTGAACCACCTCTCTGTATCACAAACTCTATTTCATGGCTAAACCAAACTCCTTACTATATCTCACCTTCACACTCCATTGCATCCACATATGTCATTCCATTAGCTTGGGATTTCTGTCCACGTATAAGAGGCTGGTCATTCCTTGTGCTGTGTTTCCATGGTACTTACTTCTGAGCAATATGGAGTAATTATAAGTCAGGTTGTTAAAACCAGACTGTCTTCGGTCATAGGCCCCACTACTTAGTAGTTCTTTGTGCCTCAGTTTTCTTACCTGTAAACTTGGAATGATAGTAGTACATACTTCAAGGTTATTAAAAATGGAAAGAGATAAGTTACATGCAATGCACATGCCTGGCCCATAGTATGCAGGCATTGAGTATTTGCTGCTGCCTCTGCTGTGGGAATCATGATGGCAGTGACATAATAGTCTTCTCCAGAAAAGGCTAAAGGAACTGCTTATTAATATTGGAGCCACCTCAGAGGTCTGTGGCCATGGTGAAGTAAAAGTGTTTTCGTATAGAAAGCCTGGCTCCAATTTGTAGGCTACTATACCTTAGCAACCTCATAGAATTTCTAGTCTCTCTAACATTCTCCACGAGTGGAGACCCCACTGCTACTTGGACATACCGTGGTCCTCAGACCGGCAGTACCTCCATTATCTGGAAGGAATGTGCTCCACTGTAGTTCTGGAGGTACCTCATTTTGCCACTTGAATGGAAGATGGAGCAAGTTATGCCATGGGTATACCTTAGGCTGAGTGAATCCCTCTCTAGACAGAGGCAGGACTCCTAAGTGTAGCAGAAGAACATTTCTAAAGTAAATAGAGACCCATAGAGTCAGAAATCTGGTTCCCTCGCCCATCACATGTTGAGCAACATATTAAGAAATATTATTTAGACTAAAATATTTTAATTTAGCAAAATGTTTGTAGACACTTTAATTTTTGTAAACATACGTGTTTGGATGTGGTATTTACTTTGATGACTATGGTCCTGAAAAGTGAAACAGAAATTGCAGTGATTCTTAACAGAGGATACTATTTAAAGAAACTCTATAATAATTATTTCACAGTACATGCTAGCTTATTAGTTTTTATTTATTGAATTATAAATACACCAGTTTCTTTAAAGTTGAACACACCTGTCTTGACTATAGTACTTTCTAACTAAAAGGAAAATTTTATCTTAGAAAATTATAATGTTAAAGGGTTAAATGAGAAAAAAGTTTATAAAATAGTGTTGAATTTTTAGGGGAAAGAAAAAAGCCATAAAGACGAAATCTAACTTGGGAAAACCAAAGGAGCCAATCTATTAGACAACTGACAAGTACATTTAATTATCATTTTAAGTATGTTTCACTTATGGTTTTTCATTGTTATAATAAGAAATTTAAATGGGTTCTCAAACAAGTTTCCCATTTATACATAAACTCACACTTGAAATTAAAGATACACATCTAATGGTAACACATGCATCTGAGAAAGAAAATGAATGATAAGGGTGATGACATGGGTTTCTTTAGCATGGGAAGTGCACAGTGTACTTGCCCAATGTGATGAGATAGAAGGAGCTTTGGATTTCAATCAGAAGAACGAAATTTCAGTGGATGCTTTTCCACGTACTACCTCTGCGAGGTTGAGCAAATCCCTCAACTGCCTAGAGCTTTGGATTTCTCATCTGTGAAATGGATATAATAGAGAGTTTCTCTGAGGATCAAAAAATAATGTACGTACAGAGGTGTTGGAGATTATAAAGCATTCTACAGATTTCAGAGATTAAAGAAATCGAGATTTTAGAAATAACTCAGAGATTTCAGGGATGATTTCAGAGGTGAAATAAGTATGAGAGAGATACCTGTTCTTAAAAATGGGAACACGTGGCCTGGCTCAAACCGCAGCCTGGACTTCTGAGTCCAAATGTGATGGTCCTGTTTGTGCTAGACTATGCTATTTCTCAGCTATGGTTGTACATCATTCCCAGAACACAGAGGTATTAAATTATAACCTAAACTGATTTTAAGGACTTTAAAACAATATAATTATTGGGGTTTCTTAGTAAGAAATACTAACATTACTAGGCAGACTTTCTATTTGTTTCTTAATGCAGGTAACGAATTTGGGCATCCTGAGTGGTTAGACTTCCCCAGAGAAGGAAATAACGAGAGTTACCATTATGCCAGAAGGCAGTTTCACCTAACTGACGATGATCTTCTTCGCTATAAGTTTCTAAATAACTTTGACAGGGATATGAATAAATTGGAAGAAAGATATGGTTGGCTTTCAGCTCCACAGGTAAGCTCCTTACTCGAAATGTATGTTTTACTCACCAATGTTCTATGTGCTCACAAAAACAATCAATTTAAATATATAGGCAGGTCTTTTAAACATCACTTTATTTTTCATGATCTAGTGCTCTGTGACATACTTCAGGGTGTCAACACATGTCATTGAAGTCTCTCCAATAGATAAAGTCTCAAACACAATACCCTGCTTACTGCCCTATGTAGTTTTGTTATTGTTTAAATTTAGTAATTTTTATTTCAGTTGGTTAAAAAAAATAACAAAATCTCAGCATGGAATCCATTTTGGAAATTGCTGTGGAAGCATCTTAATTATTTTGACTTTTTCTTTATATAAATAATGATGCTGTCATAAACAAATTACTTTGACAACATGTAGATTTCTTTATTACTTTCTTTTTCTTCCTTTACTGGTCTCTAATTTGTCATTTCAATAGATGCCATTATACCTGCATGCTGTTTTATATTTTTTATGAGCCAGACTCTTCTCTGGAATTAAAGTCTCAGTTTTCAATAAGTTTTCAAAAATGTAATTAGCAGGTGCAGATTTTATACAGGCTTTTTCCCCCTTGCAAAAATTAGCATATATTATCTGTTACTTATAATCCATTTATTTTTTAGTGGTACAGTTTGAAATTGCTGTTGATGCGTTTATACTTTGGTGTCTATTATTTTTTTAATGGTTGAACAAAGGTCCTTATATATTCAGTAAGATTGGCTACATGACATGAATGCCCTACTCACATTTATTAGTAATGCTGTTTCCAGAAGAGAGAGCAAAATGATGCTTCTTTTCAATAGCAACAATGTTGAATACCAAAAGGCATGTTGTTTACTAGCAGAGCCATAGTTCTCACTTCTAAATTACTGAGAGCAGTGCTGCTTATATGCATGGAAATAAGTCCTGGCAAATCTGGGAAGAGAATGGTATTGAAAACCAGAGGCTTCTCACAGCCTACCGTAAAACATAATATATAAAATAAGAAAGCGTGTAGCTGTTGTAAATTTTTTAGACCTTCTCTTTTATTATATATTTATATATATTTATTTTACATATATACACACATACATATATAGACAAATAACACATATATATGTGTAAACACACACACTTGTATATGGGAAAGGACTTTATGTTGCCATTGAATCTGACAAAGTTATGCAATAATGCAAAGGTTTTAAGATAACTGTAACTGCAGAAACCCAATAATAATAATAATGTCACATTATATTTTGAAAAGTAATTTATATACCTCACCTTCTTAATCTGGAAATAAAACAGAGGTCTTAAATTCACTTATAAGTAGGTCTGATACATATGTCTATATCTATACATATAGATATATATACATATAGATATGTATATAGATACTATGACTATATATGGAAATGTACATAGATACATATAGATATGTACATAGACATACATATACATATAGACAGATCTATCTATACTTAGACATATATGTATAGATATAGATATATGTGTAATAGATATATATGAAACCATAGGTTTTCTGTTCTTACTTAAAACCTGAGCCACAACACTAATCATCTGTACTTTGTTTGAAGTTGGCAATGGCTGATGACATTTTTATGCTCTTTATCAGTTTATGCTCTTTAGTTTTTGAGATAGTCATTGGCTTAGAGTTGGAAAATTACAACATATTCAAAAATGCATTTCTTATTTTTGGCTTAATAACTAACAAAGCTATTAATAAAGACAAAAACAACTTTTTGTAAACAGTTCACTTGTATCAGCATCTAGGTATTATTTAAATGTAATATATGTGTGAATTCTTTCAGGCTTATGTGAGTGAGAAGCATGAAGATAATAAGGTCATCGCATTTGAGAGAGCAGGTCTTCTTTTTATTTTCAACTTTCATCCAAGCAAAAGCTACACTGATTACCGAGTTGGAACGAAGGTGCCAGGAAAATATCCTTTTTGTTGCCAATGAATATAACTATGTGCATCATTTTTTTAATCCTAAGAATAAGGAAGACTAATGCTGATCTTGGTGTCAATAGCTCACAGTTTCCTTATCTGAAAAATGAGGGGTTTGAGATAGTTGATCGATAAATCTTTGCTCAGCTCGGTAATACTGAATTAGGATAAGTTTTCTTCTGGCTCTTAAAAGTGTGATTCTAGACATTTAAAAAATATTTTGATCCACTGTGCAAATATAGATGATGATCGTAGTTTTTCTTTGTGACAATATTTTGTAAGTTGCCTCTAAGGATTTTGTTCTTTCCCCTTCTCCACTGAGTGAGAGGGCAGGCAGTGGGAGTAAAGAGAGTGCCCTTCCCTTTTCTCTTTTTTTTTTCTATCATGCAGGACGTCGCTCACTATCCTAAGTCTGAACTGCTAAAGAATCAGGGTATGGAAGTGTGAGCAAAGGAAAGAGCGGGGAAAATATTTTTATATCCTCTATATTCATTTACTCATTCATTCATTTCTGATGCTTCCTGAGCACCTGCATGCCACCCATGGGCCAGGTGCTGTAAAGCAGGAATTGTCTCAACAAATACAGTCACTGCCCTCATGGAGCTTTGATAGAGGGAGATAGAGATAGAGATAGAGATATAAATAAGTATGGATATAATATATAATATACATGTATTTAATCCTCATCTAAGGATATCTGTTGCTTTTAGAGAGAGGGAAAAGGAGAGAGAGAAACATTGGTTGTCTACCATATGTGCCCTGTATGGGTGTGGGGGCGACTTTGCCCTCAGATCCTCCCCCTGTCCACCACCGGTGAAAGTAACACTACCAGGACATGATCTGCTTGGGGAGGAGAGGTGGCCAGTTTCTCAGAGGAAAAAGGTGTTGAGCCACTTCCTCCAGAGGCTTTTATTGGGTTGTAATACACAGGAATACAGGGCGGCAAGGATCAAACAGTAGATAACATTTCAAAGAAATCTGAGGACTTAGTCTGAGTCAGAATCTGTCAGGAAGGGGGTTGCAGAAACTTTGGGGGACATAGTCATTTTCTGCTCAGACCTTTACCATATGAATGAAAACACTTCTTAGCAAAGTAGGTTTCACAGGATTTCTAGGAATTCTTTCTGATGCCAGATTTATCCCCGGATACTGCTCTAGCAAGGCAAGGAGCTGCACCCCTCCCCCTCAGGTTTTCAGTATTCAGTGGATTAGAGCCAGGAAGCGCTTCTCCCAGAGGACACAGGGACTTAGGCTAAGTCACATAGCCAGGGGGCAAGGGTCCATTGCTCTCTCTTTGTTGCAGTCCCCCAGTCCTTCCATGAAGGCCTCCCAAGTGATCAAGTCTGGCTTAGGTTGCCCCTCTCTCTGTGGGGAGTTTTACCCATCATTGATTTCTGACCATGCTTTGGGGGCAGGGAGAGGAAACTGAGTCAGCATTTGCTACCAGACAAGCTTTGTCTCCTGTGGCTCACATTCCGAAGGTCACTCACTCATCCTTAGCCATGGAGGGTAGTTACAACTCCTGAAACCAGGCAGAAGAGTCCCCAGCATATGAGGATTGAACCCAAAACCTTTTGGTGATGATGCTCCAACCAACGGAGCCCCCCAGTCAGGGTCTCGTGGAGCTTTTCAATTAATGAAGAAGAAAAACTTAGTAATTCTAAGTTGACAACTGTAACAAAAGAAACAGTACAGTGTATTTTAAGAGATTATAACTCACTAAATCCATGAAAAAAAAGGAGCTAGCAACAAAGCAGCACAAATTGTTAAGTAGGCAGTAGACATCATGTTCTTCCCTGGAGCCCTAAAAATGATCAATGGCTGCCACCTGAGCAAGTGCCTGACACCAACATGAAGTCCTGTGTGTCAGGGTCTCTGTCACTACAAGAAGATAAACCCCCAGTTCAAGTGGCTCTAACAGTAAGGAAAATGTATTTTCCATATAATAAAAGTCCTGGGGCTGTGTAACCCTCGCATGGTGACAGTATCACTGCATTCCCTGATTTATTCTGTCTTTCTCTTTTCAAACTTGCACCGTGTCAGCAGGCATTGAGTCCAAAGCCTGACACCTGTTACAATTGCAAGGCAACAGCCCTGTTTCCAAATGTCACCTTCCACACAACAGAAGGCAAATAGGTATTATTTCTGTGTCTTTCAAGAATGAAGTTGCTTTAGCAAATTTTCTTTTGAACTGTGTATGTACAAAGAGGCAGAAAGGGAAAATCAATGTTATAACATTATCTGCACTATAAAAAGCTGTACTGTTAAAGGAAGCAAATGTTCTCACCCTCATCATTTCAGTGAAGAATGCAAACAAATACTAGACCTGTGGCAACTCATACATGACCTTTCTCAGCTCCGAACTGCTAAAATAACACCCCCAGATTCAATCCTTCCGTACCTAATAATGTAATACAATCAAATTACAATCAAAATATAATCAAACCAAAATACATTTACAGAACTCTTGGAATCTACTGCAGTCTTTCGTAAGTACTGTTCTTAACCCTTAAGTGGGGGAGAAGAGATGTATAAAACCAAACGATTTTGTAGGCATAATGCAATAAATGGGGAGAGAACAGGAATCTTCCAAGGGAGATCAGAGGACCAGGAAAAGAAAATAAAAATGGAATTGATTGATTGAGTGATGATTTAAGCCTGGTTGGGGTGGGAGAGAAAGGGATAGCAAGCGCAAGAAAAAGAGGGAAAGATTGATTTAGTGGTTGATGGATTGATTGAGGCAAAGGTTTTTAAGCCAGGACCTTGAGAAATGGGTAAAATTAAAGTAGGAAATGTTGAGGACCATGTCAGCTGTAGAAAAGCCTTAGATAATGGGCAACACAATGGATTAATTGGAGAGTGGTGCTCATAAAAAGCGACACTAGGAAGTAGCCTGAAAAGATAGGTCAAGATGACATAATGGAAGATTTCAATGCTATGTTAATTAGTTTAGGCTTTTTTTCCATAGTTTTATAGAGAGTTGCTGAAGGTTTTGAGCTAGGGAGCTACTTGATAAGAATGTATACTTTAGGAAAAGGTTCATGTACCCAGTGTATAGGAGAGTTTTTTTGAGGAGACAGATTGGAAGTACAGATATTAATTAGGAGAAATTGTAGTACATATAAAAGATAATTAATGCATGAACTAAAGTAATGACAACGATATAACCATATGCGAAGGCCTTTCTTGTAGTGAAGAACTCAGCAACTGTACATGAAATGTAGAAGAGAAAATTGAAAGTTTTACTTTAAACAATGGGAAGAATAGAATGTTATTATCACTAAGTATAGCAAAGCAAGGAGGAACAATTGGGAATAGAGCATAAGAGCTTAATTTAGGATCAGTAACAAAGGAATTTCAATAATTATGTTTATAAGAAAAATCTTGGTTCTAAGCTACATTGATCTCCTGATATCTATGTAACTTTAATAAATATTATTGAATAAAACATACAATTACATAGTAGACCCTACCCAAAAATTAATTTTATTTAGTGATATAAAGTTATACTGTACCCGAAAGTCTAGTTTGATTTTGGGGAAAAAAAAACATAAATTGGGTCTCCTGAAATTTAGTGATTTCTCTAAATGTCTAATAGGCCCCTGTTATGCAGACCCCTCTTTCCAGTAATAAACACTAAACGCTCCACCTTAGTGATCCCTTTCAGAAATGTACCCATTAAAATCTGTAATGACATAGACACCTTGGAAAATTGGGCCATGTCTTAGAACTAGTAGTTGAAGCCTCAGTCATCTGTTGGATCTCTAGGAGAACCTCGAAAAAATATTGTTGGTTCTTTTCCTACAGTGATTTTGTTTTCCAGGGATTTGTTTCCACATGGATCTTATCCACTCTTGCAGCCTTTCTCATTCCTGTCTTTATGTCAACCTATTACTAATCCCCATATGTCACTGCTTCCTCCGGAGACGTTTGCATTATAGTAAGTCTCTTTGAATACCCGAGAAGTATGCAAGACCTAATGGACCAAGATACTTAATGGAATAGTTTTGTTATAATGAGGATTTTTGTCTGAGGGGAGGGAAGCAGGAGGGAATTTCCACCGTACTTTAGACCACCTCTTCTGACTAGCGCTATGTCCATCATGCCAGCTTAAACTCATAGATACAGCTCATAAAAAATCTTCTGGACTTTATGATGCTCTGTACTCCAGTGACCCAGTTCAGTGCAGATATTTATAAATTCCTCCACATATAATAACTATCATTAGAACACTTTCCAGTTCTAGGAATCTCACTACTTCACAAGAAAAAATTCAAGTTTTTTAAAAGTTTTTATAAATCTTTTCTTACATGTGAATGCATTAGTTCTGTACTCAGGCCAATCCCTGTTCTGCATGCCAGCTACACAAATGAGAAAGGCATTTAACATGTCCCTCACCGTACCACACCCTAGTCAGTTCTTCTTCCAGACCAGCGACCTCCAGGTTCTTTCATAGATTCTCATGAAATTTCCCAGACCTCTTACCATCACGTCTCCCTTATCACCCATCACTGTTCACACTCCTCTTACGTTGTACCCCCAGAGCAAACACCTCGGTATTCCCAGATGGCCCGGCAAGTGTGACACAGAGTGCCGCATTGTTCCCTGCACCTGATACTGCTCCCCCATAGTTACATCAGCTTCACCAGCAGCCATCACATATTCTGCCCATACTGTATTTGCATTCAAATAAAAATCTTTAGTTTTTCTTTATATGTACTAGTGCTTCACTGTATCTCTCTTATTCTTTATGCAGTTAATAATTTTAATCTAAAATCCAAAATTCAACATGAAACATGAAAAAACATGTATTGTTTTTGCCTTTACCCTGTTGCTAGAGAAGATAAAAGGATATTGGATAGAACAGCTCTCTGTCATTAATCTGTTATGATTGTACCATAAGCAGCCGATAAATCTATCCTTTCAGCTTCTTGTTGTTCGAAGCTTGGCTTTAAGGCTGTATTTGCCTTAACATTTTACAAGTCTCATCT